TACTGTGATGAGTAACATTGAAATATTAAGATTGAAATGGTGTTTTTAAACTTTAGGATATCTCAAAGGCTGTAAAACACTCGAAAAGGAAATTTGTTCAAATTGAAAAGCCCCCTGTATGCCAAAAATTACTGCAGGAAGGAAAGAAGTACAGGCTGATCTGTGAGCCAGAAGCTGAAATAACTCCTGAGGTGAGTCCCTTACACAACCCTCACTTTCTGCGCTGCAGCTTCCCTGGAAATGTGCCACAAAGGGGAACCATTTTCCTCTTGGTGCCCTAAAATTTTGAGATGAAATCCTGATGCCAAAGTCAACAGCAAAACTCTGGGGAAATTGGAGTTTGGCTCAGATCTCTCCCAACAGCCAGTTGCCTCCTCTTTCGTTTCTTTCAGGGAAATATTTATGTTTATTTTATTTTTCTGTTGTGTAGGAGATTGAATTTGTGGATGGGTCACTGCTGAAGCTGAAGAGTTACTTTGAGGTGTATTTGGAGAAGCCTGATGACTTCACCTTGTCCCTGGTGGAGCAGGACTCGGATGAGACTGTCTGGAAAGCCAAGCTGAGAGAGAGTGAGTCCTTGGCTCTGGGGAGGGGCTGGGATGGGAGGACCCTAAAGCCCATCCACTTCCACCCCAGGGACACCTCCCACTGCCCCACGTGCTCCAATTCCCAATGTCCAGCCTGGCTTTGAGCACTGCCAGGGATCCAGGGGCAGCCAATCCCAGCCCAGGCAGGAATTCCCAATTCCCAATCTCCCATCCATGCCTGCCCTCTGGCAGTGGAGCCATTCCCTGTGTGCTGTCCCTCCATCCTTGTCAGTTCTCTCTCTCCATCTCTCCTGCAGCTGCTCCAGGCACTGGAAAGCCCCAGTGAGGTCACCCCAAAGCTTCTCCTGCCCAGGGTGAACAATCCCAGCTCTCCCAGCAGAGTTGCTCCATCCCTCTGCTCGTTTGGAAAATAAAGACCATTCAGTTCCAACCCTCCTGCACATTACTCCATAGAATTCTATAATATAATAAAAATTTTGCATATTATTGCGTTGTAACTTGCAATCTCTCTCGCCTGTTTGGGCCTGCTACAGCACGTGGAGTAAAAGGGGAAAAATCTCCTTTTATCAGACCTGGGGGTTGGAATGCACCCCTTTGTGGATTCCAACGCTGTGCCTGGGAGCTCTTGGAGCAGGGGCCCAGCCCTGGGAATTGCTCACTGACATTTCCCTGCTCTGCCCTTCCCCAGGGGACTGGATCCACTATGACCAGAACAAGAACGAGCAGAAGAGGAGCACAGGCAGTGAGTGACCCCAGATGTGGGCTGGCACCCCTGGGCCCCTCGCTGGCACGGGGACAGCAGTGACAGCACCTCTGCTCCCCCCCAGGTGTGAAGAGGAGGAAGCCAGCCCTCAGCATCCTGGAGGAAGAGGGGCTCCACAGCAAAAAGCAAAAAACTGGCAGCACTGCAGGTGGGGAGGGACCTGGTTGGGATTTGGTGTCCTGGGGTTGGAACTGAGCTCGGTTTCCAAAGGTTTTTCCCTGTGGAATGGTCCAGGCCTGGGGAGGAGCAGCTGGAAAGGTGTCTGGTGGAAAAGAGGCTGGGGGTGATGGTTGGCAGTGCCTGGACATGAGCCAGAGGTGGACAAGGAGGTCCTGGGGCTGTGATTGTCCCTGTGCTGAGGCTCCCCCAGCCCTGGGGCACTTCTGGGTCCCTCACAAGGACATGGAGGGGCTGGAGCGTGTCCAGGGAAGGGAACGGGGTTGGGGAAGGGGCTGGAGAATCCTGAGGGGGGTGGGAAGGGGCTCAGCCTGGAGAAAAGGGGGATCAGGGGGGACCTTGTGGCTCTGCACAGCTCCTGCCAGGAGGGGACAGCCGGGGGGATTTGGGATCTTATCCCAGGGAACAGGGACAGGAGGAGAGGGAACAGCCTCAGGCCGGGCCAGGGGAGCCCCAGGGTGGATTTTGGGGTAAATCCAATGTTTTCCAGATGGAATGGGAGCAAAAAGCTTGACAGACCAGCAGCTGCTGGCGATTGCCAAGCTCCTGGACCGGCACTGGAGGGAAACGGCCATCGAGTGCCTGCAGATGGAGATGAAGGACATCGACGACATCCGGGCCGCCGAGGAGGACGTGACCATGCAGAAGCTCCTGGTGCTGAGGAAGTGGAGGGACAGGGAGCAGGGCCACGGAACGGCAGAGGCTTTGCAGAGGAGCCTGGGGGCAAAGGCCACCTACGAGATCCTGCAGGCACTGCAAGGTACCCGGGCACTGACCCCGTCCTGACTCAGCTGGCTTGGGAATTCCAGCAGGGAATTCACCAGATCACCCGTGCACGGCTTGTCAGGAGGTCAGGATTGCCTCCTTCCCCCTTTCAGCAGTGGATTTGTTTTTTGTGGGGTTTTTATCCTTCAGGCACTGATACAAAATGAATATTTTTGCCCCGAGTGTGGAGAGCTCTCCCAGCACGACCTGGGTGTCCAGAGCAGTTCTTGGGATTGCCTGGAAGTCCTAAGAGGAGCTGTTTGGGTCTTTATTTCAGGAATGGTTAATTAATGGTTAATTAACACCTTCCCTGATGGAGGACTTGTTGGTTCTATCCCATGTGGGGATGGATCTCCCAAGGGAGCTCCCCCTCCTTTCCGTGGAGTTCTTATGTCCAGTTCACCTTCTGCAAATCCAAGTTATTCCAGGAGCTGGGAGTTATCCCTGCCCACGGCAGGGGTTGGAATTAAATGACCTTTAAGGTCCTTTGCAACTCAGACCATTCCATTATTTTATTAACTCAGCCAGCCAAGGGGAACTGTCCTCAAAAATTGAATTTTTTATTTTTTGCAACAGCAAAACTTTGTTCCTTCTCAATTCCTTAATTTAGTACAAAAGGAAATGGCCTCAGGTGGTGCCAGGGGGGTTCAGATTGGATTTTGGGAACATTCCTTCATGGAAAGGGCTGTCCAGGCACCCTCCACCCCTCCTGTGTGGAGGTGGCACCTGGGGACGTGGGGCAGTGGTGGCTTGGGCAGTGCTGGGAATGGTTGGACTGGATGGTCTTGGAGGCCTTTTCCAGCCTAATTCCATGATTAATTCTCCCTGGAAACGAGCTGGGGATCCAGGAGAGCTCTCCCTCACAGACTCTGTGCCACAGCCTTTGCTGCCTCAGGGCAGGGTCTTTAATACATTTCTTTTTCAACTTAAATATTTTTAATCCAATTTCTCTCAGTTTGAGACTTGCAGGAGCTTCCAGAGATCCCGCAATCCAGGTGTGCTTTTCCTTTCCCTCAGGTTTCCTGGCTCAGAGCTGAGCCAGCTGGAAGGAGGAGGAGGAGGAGGAGGTGGGAGCTTCCCAGCCCAACCATTCTGCTCCCTGGGATCCTGCTGGGACTCAGGGATGTTCCTGGTGGGAAGTTCAGGCAGGATCCTCCAGAGAAACGTGAATGGAATTTGGGTAGGAGCCGCTTCCAAGGCTTTCAGGAGAGGTGGATCCCGGAATTCCGGGCTTCACCCGCAGGGAAAGCCACTCCAGGAGGGCACAAACACTGGAAGAAGCCACTTGATCTTTTTCATCGCCTGGAAAAGATTTTTATTTCCGTCAGGGAAAAACAGGGAGAAGAATTCCCCTGGAAACTGTCACCCCCTTCCAAAAAACCACTGACCTGCCAGAATCGTGAGGTGCATTGGATTTCTCATGGATCAGGGAAGAATAATCCGAAACTCGTACCAAATTCCTCTGCATAATCACTGTATATATGGAATTATTGTACAGATCCTGTGCATCCAGTCCTTGTTACGCTGTGGTTCTGCTTCCTGAGATTCCCAAAGATGGGAACACCACTGTGAACTCCAGGCAGCTCAGAATTTCCACATGGAATTTCTTCTCCCCTCTTTTCTGTATAGCTTGTCTCTGTTTTTTACGTTGTATAATTCTTTTTTGTATGAGAAACTTTTTATACTTTTTAAATTTTTTTTTACTTGATTTATTCAAACTTGGATAGAATTTAGGTGCTTAAAATGTGAGGAGCCGAAATCTCTGTGCTGCAGGCTTGGAAAAAAAATGGGAAAAATGGAATTTGCAGAAGAGAGGAGTGACCAGATCCAGGACTGTCTTGTTTTTAAGGCTGTGGGATGCTTGGGATCATTTTCCTCTGTGTATGTTTGAGAAAGGAAAGCATACTTTTGAAAAACAAGGATTAAACAGGAAAAAATTCCATTATTTCCATCTGAATTTTGATTTTTGTTTTAGTTGGATGAAGTGTTGGGAAGTGGTTGATTTCCTGGGAAGAAGAGGAGGAGGATGGAAGTTGTTCCTCAGCCTCTGGAAAAGCTGGAGGTGCCACCAAAGGCATCCAAGGGGATTTTTGGGATGGAAATCCCAAAATCTCCCATCCCATTCCAACCCCTTCCAGGGCCAGGGACACCTTCCTTATCCCAGGTGTTTCCAAGAGGGAAACTTGGATTTTGAAACCAGTTACAGGGAGGAGCCTTCCCAAGCCAAAGTATTCCAAAGCAACATCCAAAGTATTTCAAAGGACTCATGGTGGGTCCCAAGGAACAAAATAATCACTGTGGTTTTGAAGGAAATGTTGATTTTATTAGGCAATAAATAGAATAAATAGGGAATATCATAAATAAGTCATGGGCTAGAATGGAATATCCTCATAAATAAATCAGGGAATAGAATGGAATATCATAAATAAATCCGGGAATGTCATCATAAATAAATCAAAGAATAGAAGGGAATATCATCATAATGAAGGAATATCATCATAAATAAATCAGGGATTATAATCATAAATAAATCAGGGAATATCATCATAAATAATGAAATAGAGTGGAATCTCAAGTCAAGGAATATCATCATAAATAAATCAGGGAATATCATCATAAATAAATCTAGGAATATCATCATAAATTGGAAGAGAATGGAATATCATCATAAATGAAGGAATATCATAAATCATGAAATAGAATGGGATCTCTAATCAAGGAATATCATCATAAATCAGGGAACAGAATGGAATATCATCCCAAATAAATAAATTAGGGAACAGAATGGAATATCATCCCAAATAAATCATGGAATAGCATGTCCTGAGCTGGAAGGGATCCCCAAGAAAAGGAATTGCCATACACAGCTCTCAGTTCCTGAGGAATCAGCAGAATAAATCGGGATAAATCAGAGTCAGGAACGCCGCTTAGATCCCAAAACCCCGGGAATTCAACACGGCTTAAAAGGCACTACTCCCTAAAAACAAGTTGTGGGCATTCCGCGGGGTGCTCAGTGGGTGTTCCCCGGGGTCAGGGGGAGCTGAGGAAGCTCAGCACCCTGCAGATGGTGACGCTGCGGACGCGCAGAGCCTGCAGGACCCCGCAGAGCCGCAGCCGCTCCGGGAACGCCGCCCGTCCCACTCCTGGCGATCCCAGTGATCCCAGTCCTGATGATCCCGATGGTCCCAATCCCAACGATCCCGATGCCGATGATGTCGATGATGCCGATGATCCCAATCCCAACGATCCCGATGCCGATGATGCCGATGATCCCAGTCCCGATGATCCCAACGATCCCGATGCCGATGATCCCAATCCCAACGATCCCGATGCCGATGATCCCAATCCCAACGATCCCAATCCCGGTGATCCCAGTGGTGCCTCCGGAACCCGCCCGGTGCTGCTGCCCAGGGCCTGCACGGGGTTAGGAAACGGCTTAAACCCAAAAACTCCTGGGATTTTCACCCCCCCAGGGATGAGCGGCAAGAGTGGGATGTAAGGATGGGTCGAGGGATGGTTAAATTATCATTAATAGGGAAAAATTTGGGATATTTAATTTATGGTGGATAGAGTGAGGGAAGAATTTGGGATATTTAATTCATTGTGAATAGAGTGAGGGAAGAGTTTGGGATATTTTAATTTCTCATGAGGGGATATTTAATATTTGGGTATTTAATATTTGGGATATGTAATTTGTCATAAATAGAGTGAGGGAAAAATTTGGGATATTAAAATTATCGACAATAGACTGAGGGAAAAATTGGGGTATTTCATTTGTCATAAATAGATTGAGGGAAAAATTTGGGTGGTTTGATTTATCATTAATAGGGAAAAATTGGGATATTTATCATTAATAGAATGAAAGAAAAATTTGGGCTATTTAATTTATGGTGAATAGGCTGAGGGAAGAATTTGGGATATTTACTTTGTCATAAATAGGCTGAGGGAAAAATTTGGGCTATTTAAATTATCATTAATAGACTGAGGGAAAAATTGGGATGTTTAATTTGTCATAAATAGAGTGAGGTAAAAAATTGGGACGTTTAAATTTTTGGGAATAGAGTGAGGAAAGAATTTGGGATATTTAATGTATTGTGAATAGAGTGAGAGAAAAAATTGTGATCATTTATCATTAATAGGGAAAAATTTGGGATATTTAATGTATTGTGAATAGAGTGAGAGAAAAAATTGTTTTATTTATTTTTTATTTATTTATTTATTTATTTATGTTTTATTTATTTATTTTTTTATTTATATTTATTTTTATATTTATTTTATTTATCACAAATTAATTTATCATTAATAGGGAAAAATTTGGGATATTTAATTTGTCATTAACAGGGTACATTTGGGAGTATTTAATGGTGTCAAGAATAGACTGAGAATGAAAATTGAAATATTTCATTTATCATGAATAGGGAAATTTTGGAAATATTTAATTATTGCATTAATAGGGTAAAATTTGAAGTAATTATATCATTAATAAGGCAAATTTTCAAATATTTCATGATAGCATTAAAAGATTCAGGATAAAATTTGAAATATTTAATGATAGCATTGATAGGGTGCATTTTGAAATATTTCTTTTACCCTGAATAGAGTGAGGGTCAAATTGGAAATGTTGAATTGATCATTGACAAGGTAAATTTTGAAATATTTCACAATTGCATTAATAGACTGCAGAAAAAATTTGAAATATTGAATCTTATCATTAATAAGGTAAAATTTCAAATATTTCATGATTGCATTTATAGACTGAGGCTAAAATTGGATTTATCAACATTTAATCCATCCCGTGTCACACCTGGTGCACCAGGTCTGTTAGATTTCAATATCTGCAGGAGAAATGGAGGTTTTCCTTCCCAATTTCCTGAATTTTGGGGTCGGTGGGGGCAGGAATCCTCACCTCCATCATCCCATCGAGAGCTGCCAGCAGCTGGGGGTCGGGCAGGGTCCTCAGCTGGGCCCTGTAGGCTCTCACGTCCTCAGAGATGCCCTGCAGGCATTTTCCCTGGGGAAATAAATAGAATTGCCAGGAAATAAATAGAATTCCCAGGAAATGTGGGAACCTGCTGCTCCTTTAAACACACAACGAGCAAAAGAAGGAGTTTGTTTTTGGGAAATTTTTATTTACCTCATCCAAAGCTGATTTTTCCAGGGTTGGGCAATTTCCAGGCTGAAAGTTGAACAAGAATTAAGATTTGTGATTTAATGGGAGTGTGGATGACACGTTCCATGAAGCCATGAGGTAAAATTTAAATTTTATCTGTAATTTCTCTGAGTTTTACCCCTGGCTCCTCAGCTGTGCAGGCTCTGAGGGTGTTCATGTGGTTCTCAGTGATGTCCTGCAGATCCACCTCCTCAAGGGTGCACTCAAATCCCAGGCTGTTGGATTCCTGGGGTGAAAAGGGAATCAAAAAGGGGCCTTTTTTATTAAAGGGTCCTTTTACTATTAAAGCTTCAGGAGGCAATTTCTATATTTTTATACATTTATCTGTAAACAGACACAGTTTGATACACAGATACAATTTCATGTATCTGTACTCAGCTGGACCCCAGGAATGAGGCTCTGTGAGGTTAAATATGAAATACAGGAAATAGTTTGGGGGCCATCACTGACGTCCTGGGGCCACCACATGCGTCCTGGGGACATCCCTGCCAACCTGGGGACCAAAACTGCTGCAGCATTTCCAGTTTTGGTGTCACCACTGTCCCATCCCTGCCCTCCTGAGTGTCACAACTGTGCCATCCCTGTCCTCCTGGGACCATCCGTGCCAACCTGGGGACCAAAACTGCTGCAGCATTTCCAGTTTTGGTGTCACCACTGTCCCATCCCTGCCCTCCTGGGTTCTCAGCAGCCCCAGCTGGTGCCTGGGGACCATCCCTGCCCTCCTGGGGACCACAGTCACCCATCCCTGCCTGCCTTGGTGCCATCCTCACCCTCCCGGGTGCCACCGCTGGCTCCTCACCGGCCTTTGGGTACCTTTGCCACCTCTCTGGGTGCCACCCCTGCCCCATCCCTGCTTTTCTGGGTATCACCACTGCTCCATACCTGCCTGGTTTGGTACCATCTCTGCCCCATCCCTGCCTGCCTTGGTGCCATCCCCACCCTCCTGGGTGCCACCACTGGCCCCTCACCGGCCCTTGGGTACCTTCACTACCTCTCTGGGTGCCACCACTGCCCCATCCCTGCCTGGTTTGGTGCCACCCCTGCCCCATCCCTGCCTGGTTTGGTGCCACCCCTGCCCCATCCCTGCCTGGTTTGGTATCACCCCTGCCCTATCCCTGCCCTCCTGGGTGCCACCCCTGCCCCATCCCTGCCTGGTTTGGTGCCACCCCTGCCCCATCCCTGCCCTCCTGGGTGCCACCCCTGTCCCATCCCTGCCTGGTTTGGTGCCACCCCTGCCCCATCCCATATCCCTCCGGTCCCGTCCCGTTCCCCGCTCACCTTCAGCCGCAGCGGGGCGGCGTTGGCGGCTTGCAGCAGCTCCCGGGAGCGGTTGAGGCGCTGGGCGGGGGGCTGGCAGTGCCCGGCCGGGGTGGGCAGTGCCCGGGCCGGGGGCAGCAGCAGCAGCAGCAGCAGCAGCCCCAGCCCCAGCAGCGCCCGGCCGCGGCCGCCAGGCAGCGCTGCCCGCCCGCCCCCGGTGCCGCTCCCGGGGCCGCTCCCGGGGCCGCTCCCGGTGCCGCTCCCGGTGCCATTCCCGGTGCCGCTCCCGGGGCCGCTCCCGGGGCCGCTCCCGGGGCCGCTCCCGGGGCCGCTCCCGGTGCCATTCCCGGTGCCATTCCCGGCGCTGCTCGCGGCTCTCCCGGTGCCGTCCCCGCCCCGCTCCATGGCGCTGCGCCGGTCCCCAGCGGGCACAGCCCTTATAGAGCAGCAGCGGGGTTTCCCCCGCGCCGGGCGCGCTCATCCCGAGAGCGGCGGGGCCGGGAATCCCGCACGGGCCGGAGCTCGTCCGCGGGCTCTGCGCAGAGGGATTCCCGAAACGTGGGGATGGGGTTGGCACGTGGGTAAACTTCCACGGAATCACAGCGTCGTGGGATGGTTCGGGCTGGAAGGGACCCTAAGGATCCTCTCATTCCAGCGGCAGGGATTCCGCTGTGCCAGCCTGGCGCTGGGCACTGCAGGATCCAGGGGATCCCAGCCGCTCTGGGAATCCATCCCAGGGCCTGTCCTCCCTCCCAGCCAGAAATTCCTTCCCAAAATCCCACCTAGACCTCCTCCTCTCACAGTGTGAAGCCGTTCCCTCTCTGTTCTGTCACTCCATCCCTTGGAAATCAGCTCCAGCTTTCCCATTTCCATCCTGCTTTCCTCTCCAGGGAAAAGTGACAGGACAAGAGGAAACAGCCTCAGGTTTCACCAGAGGAGCTCGTGTTGGATATCAGGGAATATTCCTTCATGGAAAGGGCTGGAAGGGGCTGCCCAGGGCAGTGCCCATCCCCGGAGGGATTTAAAGCCCTGGGGAGGTGGCACTTGGGGACAGAGCTCAGGGTGGCCTTGGCAGGGCTGGGGATGGCTGGACTGAATGAACTTTGAGATTTTTTCCAGCCTAAACCATTCCATGATTCTCTGATTCTTTAACAACAAACTCTCACTAGTGAACGTTTGTGAAAACCTGCCTGAATGTTTGATTTTGCAGAAATATTTGGATAAATCAACAAATATTTCAATTTCATGGCCATTCTCAGCTGCCCCAAAAGGCTGCAGAAAACTTTTCTGTGCATTGGGACTGCCATGAAGTCACTGGGATTTTTGCTGTCAAACTGGAAGGGAGCAGGATGAATCAAGAGTTTTATATTGCATTTTCAGGTTCTTTGTATTTTCGCTGTTTCCTATAAGAAGCCTGTGGCGTGTCCTGAGACTTCTTTTAGCCCCAATAGCAGCAGTGCCTCATTTTCCAATTTCTCTCTGTGTTTTCCACTCCTGCCCCCTCACTTCACCGTGGGCTGTGGTTTCCAGCTCGTGGAGGAGCCGCGGCTTCCGAGAGCCAAAAGCGAAAGAGAATTTTGGGATGTGCAGCGGGGCTGTTCCTGAAAGGTTTTGGCTTTCCAGGTTTCTCAGTCCCTGCTCCCAGCAGGACACGAGGTTTCCCAGCAGGGTCAGGGCTGGGCTGGGATTTGGGTTTATCTGGGATGTATCCTGATGATATCCCTCAGATCTCTCCTGGGATCCTTGCTGGGATCCCTGGCAGTGTCCCAGGCCGGGCTGGATGGGTTTGGAGCACCCTGGGACAGTGGGAGGTGTCCCTGCCATGGCAGAATGGGATTTAAGGTCCTTCCAACCCAAACCATTCCAGGATTTCAATTCTGGCGAGTGGAAATTGGGATGTATCCTGATGATATCCCACAGATCTCTCCTGGGATCCCTGGCAGTGTCCCAGGCCGGGCTGGATGGGTTTGGAGCACCCTGGGACAGTGGGAGGTGTCCCTGCCATGGCAGAATGGGATTTAAGGTCCTTCCAACCCAAACCATTCCAGGATTTCAATTCTGGCGAGTGGAAATTTTTTTCCCAAGGGAAGAAGAAATCCATCTTCTCCCCTTTCACCTCAAAGCACCCTCTGCTTGACCTGGCTTAGCCTGAATGAAAAATCCTGGTAATTAATATTTATATTAATCACATTAGAGCAAAAGGATATGTTTTATACATTATAATCTATTTAAATAAGAATTATTCCTTGAGCAAGTGCAGTCCCAGAGGAATGGGAAGCAACGCTGAAATGGAACGGGAATAATTAATGATCTGTGATGCTCCTTTGTGTTTATTTCATGGAATCATAAAATCGTGGCATTTTTTAGGTTGAAAGGGACATTAAAGCTCATCCAGTTCCACCTTCCACTATCCCAGGTTATTTCAAGCCCCAGTGTCCAGCCTGGCCTTGGGCACTGCCGGGGATCCAGGGGCAGCCCCAGCTGCTCTGGGCACCTGTGCCAGGGCCTCCTCAATATAATATAATAAATATAGTAAATATAATAAATACAGTAAATTTAATACATATAATACATGTCATGTGGATAATATAGATAATATAGAAAATAGAGCTATATAGACAATATAGATAATAAATATCACATCTATTATATATATCTAATTTATAACTTCATAAATTTATATATATATATAATATATAACTATTAAATTAGAGAAGTGTTAGCAGCTGTATGATTTTTCAACGAGAAAATATAATTCCACTGCCTGTATTTCAAGCAGAAATTCCTTTTGTTGGAATTATCCTCCAGAGAAAAGCAAGGACTGTTCTGGGTCTCTGTAAATTTAGATTTGATCTAATGCAGTCAAAATTCGGGGAATCCCTGCTCCGGGCTCTGCCCTCACCCAGATCAATACCCAAAAATCCTGCTTGAGGCAGAAAGGGAAAGCACAGATCAGAAAGAAACCCAGTGAGAAAAGCCCCAAAGCCCCTGGGCTCAGTTTGGTTTTGAGGCCTGGGGAGTTGAGAGATGAGAAATGGGATCAGCTCCAGCCTCGCTCTGCTGAAAAAGCCGGAGGTTCCTGGAAATGTCCTGCCTCTCCTTTCAGTCTCGCCTTCTCTCCCTCCAATGAACAGAAATTGAGTTTTTGGCTTCGTTTTGGCCAAGGCACCAAAGGTTTCCAGGTAAGAGTGGTGGGCATCACCCTTGCTTTGAGGGAAATGAGGTGTAGGGATGTTTCCTGCCAGCTGTGGGGGGCTGTTTCTCCTGGAATTTCAAATTAGATGGATTTTCCTCAGGAGCAGGCTCCAAACCCTTTGGGAATGTCCTGGAGTCGCTCGTGCCATCCTCAGTGGGAAGGGTTTGGTTGTTTGTAGGGCAGCCCTATTGCCTGGCACTGGAAATGGCAATAATTTTATAGCTCTGATTAAGCAAGAATTACAGAGAAATAGCAATTAAAGCTGCAGGGTGATTCATCCCACCCAGGCTGACAGGCAGCTGGAGACAGAGGTCACTGCTCCATTAAAAATGGGAAAATATCTCATGGAATGGGATTTCTGGATGCAATAAATAAAAGGGGTCTGATCCTATTTGCCACTCACAGAACTTGTGGAATATTGAATCATTTATTTGCCTCTGGATCATTTTTTGGGAAGATCCAATGTCAGATTTATCACCAGAAGAGCCTCACTGACAGAAGCTGTTTCTGATTTGGGTTGGGAACTGATGGCTCCATAAAATAGGAGAAAAAAGGCTCAGGAGAAACTTTCCTGGTGTTTTTGTGGCTGTTGGTTCTGATTCCTCATGGAATTCCCTGAAATTCCTAATCCCAAACCTCTGCTCTTGCTGGTATTTCATCAGGGGCTGGTTAAATGTTGTTTCTGGAGCTTTCTTGGGGTGCTGGGACCTCTAAAATCCTGGCTCAGTCTCCTGCATCTCTTGGCTCTTTTTTTTTTTTCCAGTTGCCACCAGAATTCCTGAGATTTCCCCACGATCCCTGCTGGTTCCTGGCTCCTGGATTCCTGGCAGCTCTGGGAGCCCCCAACTTGGGATTCCCAAATTCAGAGGTTGCTCTTTGCAGGCTCCAAAGCTCCAATCCCCTCCCCAGGGGAAGGGATTCATCCTGGGAAAGGGGTGAAGCCACCCCTGGGTCAGGGCTGGGATTCCCTAAAAAGCCCCCAGGGTGCATTTGGGGCAGGGAATTTCTCCCACTGAGCTGGGAGGAGCAGAGATCGGGGAGGGGAGGCCCCAGCCCGGAGAGATTTTGGATTCCCAGAGAAATTGAGGATTCTTTGGGAGGAGCAGAGATCAGGGAGGGGAGGCCCCCGATTTTGGATTCCCAGAGAAATTGAGGATTCCCTGTCCCTGGAAGTGTCCAAGGCCAGGCTGGACAGGGCTTGGAGCACCCTGGGATAGGGGAAGGTGGAACTGGCTGATTTTTGAGGTCCATTCCACCCCAAAACCCCAAACCATTCCATGATTTAATGATTCTATGGAATAAACACGGAGGAACACCACAGCCGTGCCCACAGATTCAGGATTATTCCCATTCCCTGCCCATGGAACTGGGATTTAAGGTCCTTTCCCAACCAACCCATTCCAGGATTTTATGGCTCCCTGTGGGTCCATCAGCCCTGTGGGGTTTGTTTTAAATTTCCACAGAATTAAAAGGAATAAAAACCTCCAGAAAGCACCAGCAGGGAGAGCTGCATGCCCCTGGAAATTTGGGAATCCTGTGAGCTCATGCTCCCGGGGCCTGTGGGTGAGCAAGGAGGGATGCCAGCTGTGCCCGTGGTTTCGTGGCACTTTCGGGGAGCTCTTTCTCTCTCACTTTCAGTTTTCACCCTTGACAGAATTTCTCAGCTCTGGGTGCTTTTTCTGCTCCTCATCCCCCCCCTTGTCACCTCCTGGCCGGGGGTGCTGCAGCAGGAAAGCAGGGATGGGGGAAAGCAGGAATTTTGTCCTTGCTGAGGTCACATTTGCCCTTTCACCTCACGCTGGCTTTGCAGGTGGAGAAAAGAAAGAAATCCGATCTTGGATGAGCAGGAGCTGGTCAGGGAGATTTTTTTCAGCATTTCCTTGATGTACCCTCATTTCCCAAGTGCCATTAATGATGGAATCCTCCAAGCTGTGCCAGGCCAGCGGCTGAGGAAGCCCAGGAGATGCAGAGCTCAGAGCCTGGGGCCACCTGGGAGCTCTGGGGTGACCCACGGGCACAGAATTCCCTGGGATCCTGTCCCAGGGCCGTGGGCTTGGCAGGAGTGACCCCCGGGAATGCTGTGCCCGGGAATTTCACTGCTCCTCCTGCATGCTGGGCACTCTCCTGGCAGGAATTCACCCTGCAGGGCCAAAGGTTGTGGTTTTGCCGTGCCGTGGTGAGGAGAAAAAGGGAATCAGTGCAATTAGGGACGGGAGGAGCTGAGCTAAAGCAGGTTAGAGCTGCCAGAGTTCTGTGGGGAAGCTGGGGAAGGGACCTTTAGTCCTTCCCTCTAAAACAAGGAGAACAGGAAAGCCACAGGGGGAATGGATTCCCTCTGCCAGCTGGGAATTTGGGAGGAAATCCTTCCCTGGGAGGGTGAGGAGGGGCTGGCGTGGAATTCAGAGCAGCTGTGGCTGCCCCTGGATCCCTGGCAGTGCCCAAGGCCAGGCTGGACACTGGGGCTGGAGCACCTGGGACAGGGGGAGGTGTCCCTGCCATGGGAACGAGGTGACATTTCCCTTCCAACCCAAACCATTCCTGATTTGGGGATGATTCCTGATTTTGGGATGGTTCCTGGGGCTGGGGAGGGCACCCAGCTCTGCTCTGGGTGACGTGGCCCCACAGGAATACCCTGGTTTATCCCGTGCCAGGACGTGGGTGACATCCAGGGCTCCCCCTCCTCCCAGGGGCAGCTGCTGCCCGTGCAGGACTGGCAGAGCCCGGGAGATCCCTCCTGCCCTGTGGCTTCTGTGGTAAAAATAAACCCTGCATTTGATGCAAATGCTGCAGAAAACGAAAGGGTTTCACTCAAACCTCATGAGCTGGGCACGGGGAGCTGCAGAGCTCAGGGCATTTCCCCAGCTGGAGCTGGCTGCGAGCAGAAATAAACCAGAAACACACCAAACACAAACATGCCACACAAAGAAACCCCAGCCTGGAGGGGAAATCCCTTTTCGCCCTATCCAGAGGTGCCTCCCATCCAGCTGTGGGGCTTTGTGGGAATCCCAAACCATTCCAGGTGGGCTGAGCTGCTGGGAGCAGCCCAGAAAGGGCTGCCCAGCCCTGGTCCCAGACTGTCCCTGGCCATGCACACAGGGCTGAGTCCCCTCCCCTCATTCCAGTTTTTTCCTATCTTTAAGATTGAAAAGAATTTTCAATCTTAATTTTCAATCAAACATTTTTTCTGTCTTTAAAATTTTCTATCTTTTAAATTTTTTTCTATAGTTATTATTGGGATTGAAGGTACTTGAGATTGTGTTTAGCCTCAGGTGTTCATTATTTTCATTTATGTTTCAGTCTTACAGGTAGTGAGTTCTGTAGCTCTTCACCAACAAGGTACAAAATGGTTAACAACCTTTTGTTGTAAGGTTTTCTAAGGTTAAACTATCTAATTAAGAAATGATACTTAAATTGGTTTTATTTTTAACTTAATAACTAATCATTTAAAGTCCGCAATGCAGATTTTTCTGTTTAATTACAAAATACTACTCAAACTTATGAAGAAGAAGGGAGAAGAAGGTGAAGAAGAAGGACTGGTTTCTGGTTTAAAACTTTTATTTTGTTTTATATAGATTATTATATTCTAAAACTTTAAACTTGAAGCTTTCTACTTTGTGACATTACACACTTTTAATTAACTACACACTTGTAATTCTAGTGTTATCATTCCATTTTGGGATCCTTCTCCTCAGCCTCAGGTCAGTGCAGTGTTCTCCTGGGGGTCAGAGTCTGTCATTTTGAGGGGATTATGGAATGGTTTGGGTTGGGAGGGACATTAAAATCATCTCATTCCATCCTGCCCATGGCAGGGACACCTTCCTCTGTCCCAAGCCCTGTCCAGCCTGGCCTTGGGCACTCCCAGGGGTGGGACAGCCACAGCTTCCCCTCTTTTCCATGCTCCCAGCCCATGGCGGTGCCTCTGTGTCCGGGCAGAGGCTGCTCAGCACACCCAGGAGCAGCAGGAGAGGAGGAGCCTAAAAAAGGGCAGAAAATCCCAAAAAGGGGGACCCAAACCACAGGGCTTCCCTGCCAGGAAGCAGCTGCCTCATAAAGCTCATCCCAGTTCCCAGGGGTGGAGGAATTCCCATCAGCAGGACCTTGCCTCAGGCAGGAGGAGCATTTGGGGCTTGTTCTTTATTTAAAGCAGCACTTCAGGCTCTCCAGGCACAGGTGGGTTCAGAGTGGGACTTAAAAATATTAAGGGATGTTGTGGATTGAGACCAGCTGGGAAACAATTTCCAGCCTGGCATCCTGTGGGAGAGGGTTTATGCTTTTTGGGAATCAAAAATCCACCTGCAGGAGGCTCCAAGTGGGACCAACAACCAGGAGCAAAACACAAAACCAAAAACCACGCCAGCTCCTTGTGTTTCAGAAATATCCTTTAATCCATCAATTCCAGCATTGCCAGCACCCACAGCACCCCTCGGAGCCAAGGAGAGCCAGAGCAGGATTTTCTCCTGGAAAAACCCAATTCCCCCAGGACAGGAGAGGAACACCAGCGGTGGGTGAGTGGGATAACAAATTCTCTCCAGCCAGCCAAAGGCACTTAGCAGGGGATGGGATTCCAGCCTTTCCAGGCTGCCCCATCCCTGGAGGGTGCCAGGGGAGCTGTGGGATTCCCCAGGAGCACCCTGGGGCTTCCTTGCTTTATTTTGGAATTTTTTCCCTTAAAGCTGAGAGCAAACTTTGTGTATTTGGGTTTTTTCATGTTTTAAGTGCAGCAGGGAAAGCAGCACCCCAATATTTCTCTCTATTTTCTGCATGCATTTAAAAATAAGGAAGAAAAGGGTTGACTTTTTCCTGGGCTGCAGGGGAGAGCTCCTAATCCTTCCAGTTGCTAAATCCTTATGAAATTAATCCATCCCTGCTCCCTAAATTAAACCAACGCCCATCCCAGCCCCCAAACCCCTCTGAGGGCTTCTTCCAACCTTGCCCTTTCTGCAAAAAAAAAAAGGGGGAAAAAAGTCATTTTCTAAAAGAAAAAAGTGCTTTAATAAAAGCCATTCCTGGCAGGGGATGAAATTTTAATGCAGCTGAGGCCTTTTGCAAACACCCTGAATAAGTCATCAGGCAGAGCCTTGGCTGGGATGGATTTGCCCCCAAGGAAATGAGAATTAAAAGGTAAAAAGCTGCTGGGAGCACCAGGCTGGGACTTAGGAAGGGTTGGCTGGGTTCTTCCAGCTTTAAATCCAATAAAAGAGGGATGGAGACAAATTTATTTTGTCCCAGTGTCCCCTCTCCTACAGTCAGCCTCCCCTGCAGGCAGAGTGAGGATTTCCATATTTAATCAGTTTAATTAGCTGCCCATTTTTTAACATAGATTATTCTTTTTATTTCTGAAATGTCATTAAAATGTTCAGCCCAGACAATGAAATATAAAAAGCCCACCTGGGGTGTGTGTCTGCTGCTTCCAACCATCACAAATTCAGGGCTCAGTGCTACAGAAGAATCCACGTGAAGCAGAATTAGGAACTTATAAATAAATAACTCTACAAAACCCCTCTCTCCTCTCAGTTCCGTGTGATCAGCAAGGCAAAAAAAAAGGTTTTTTACACATTTAGCTGGAAGATCCACCAGCAAATCCACCCCCTTGGCAACAAACAGACGTGTCATAGGAAACAATGGTGGTAATTTTTATTTTACAGCTTTATACAGAAAACTTCCAACTCTCTGCACCCACCGAGTGTTAATAGCACACCTAAAAATGAATGTCAGGTAGTCAACATTCCCCAAAATGTTGAGAACTGAGTAAAATGTACAGATTACTGAAAGCTACGACGTCACTACGAGGCAGGCATGGACTTTTTGTTGACTTGTATAGCACCGTCAAGAACAGGTTCTTTATTTCAAAACTACAGTGAGGAATAAAAAAGTAGTCAATGGTAAAATATCATCCAACCCAAAAAATCTCTAAACAACCAAAAATAAAGTTAAACTACCCTCTCTTCTCGCCCATGATTTATAATGTTATAAGTACTGTACAATTCTCTTTGTTTCTGTAATAATAATAATAATATTATTATTATTAAAATGCCTGATATTTAGTGGCACGAGTAAAAAAATTAAAATAAATTAAGAAGCAGAGGCCAATCACCAGACAGAAGCTTGGGACATGGTCAATGAGCAACACTGGAACTCCCTGGACAGGACAGAGGCAGGAGGAGGGATTCACTTGGCTGGCATCTTCTCTGCCAGGTGCTTCTGCTGGCTCTCGGCGTGCCTGGGGGCAGGAGGGGGCTGTTATTCCCTGCTCTCCAAGGAAAAGCTGGAAAACCCAACCCCCTGCTCCAGCACCCAGCTGGGAGTTGAGTTTTCACATGGAAAAAGACCAGGTTTTTCTGGATCTGGGTTTGGTTTGGGGCTCCTGGGGTTTTTCCCTCCCTTCCCACAGGGATGGGCAGAACTTTGACCCCCAAATGACAGAGGGGGTACCCTCAAAACCCCCCAGATAGCACATGGCACTGCCAGTGCCCCCAGCACCCCCAAAACTGCCATTTCTGGAAGTGCCAGGAGCTGCAGGGAGGAGGGTGAGGGTGGTGGTGACAGCCCTGGGCTGGGGCAGGAGCACTCCAAATGGGATGAACAGGCTCCAGCTCAGAGCATGAGCAGCCTCAAGGCAGCACCAACCTCCAGCACCTCATTCCCTGCTCCCATTTCTCCTTCCAACCCCTTCTCCACCCTCCTGTCCCCCTGCACCACCCCTGTGACCCAGAGCCACCGGAGTGTGGATGTCCCGGGCTGGGCTCGCCCCGGCCCCACTTACGAGATCTGCTACCGGCGACTTCTTCCTGTTCTGCTTCTCCACCTCCACCTGCATCTTGGCCATGGGCTTTGCCATAGCCAAGGCCATCTTGGCTTCAGCCTGGAGCTTCTTCTGCCTGCTGAGGAAATCCATGTCGTCCAGGGACTCCGACTCCTCCTCCGTCGTGTCTCTGTCCGAGTAGGACGAGCTCTGCTTGCTCTGGGGGAGCAAAGAAGCCACAGCAAAGTTTGACCTATTTTTGTGGTTTTTTTTTTTTTTTTCCTACAGAAACTGTGAAAGGCATGGGTTTATTTTTTATCTTTATCCACGAGATTATCTTTAAAAATCAGTGTGATTCCCAGCTAGGCCTCCTTGGCTTTACAGGGAAAAGAGGAGCCCAGCAGATCAGAAAGTGCTGAAAGGTTAAACTGGAGGGAAACACTTGGGGCTGTGGTGTTACACCCAAGAAGGATTGCTGGATAAGGAAAGGAAAGGAAAGGAAAGGAAAAGGGTTCACATGAAGGCATCAACTCTACAGCAGCAGGGGAGGTTTATTATCTGTCCCTCAGCATCTCACATTTACTGAGGGCTGGAAATGCTGGGGTCTGGGGCTCTGTTTGAACAGGATCAGCCTCTCAGGGATCCCCGTGGCTGTCCTGCTGCAGGCTGAGGTGCCAGACCCACCATGGGTGACAAGGGCGTGTCCAGGCTGGTCTCTGTCTTGCTGTCATCGCCGTCGCTGTCCTTGTCGCTGCCGCTGTCGTTGACAAAGCAGATCTGCAGGTTCATCCCGCTCTGTAGCCTGGGGGAGCACAGGCACAGGTGACACTGCTGTCCCCTGGGAGTGCCACCAGCTCAGCGGGGAGCTCAGTGTCACAGGGCTTCTACCACCATCTACTGATAAACTGCAGAATTACCCCACACTGCAGGGACTTTTCATTATTTTTTATGATATTTATTTCAGAATGTCATTATTATTTTTGATGATTCCGATTAAATAAAATCTATAAAATGCAATAAAATATATGGAATGTGTTACTATGAAAAACCCACAAAAATTATTTACAAATAAAGAATGAAAAATTACAGAGAAATGTATAAAGATAAAAATAGCATATATAATAATGCATATTATAAAATATTTTGTCAATGGTGTAAATTATTTATTTACTGTTTGTTTCCAAGACAGTCCTGTAACACGAGTTTATTCTGGTGTTTTCCAGACCCTCCCTGCTCCATTGGGATTGATTAACCCCACCCACATTCCCCTCCCCAGGAATGATTTTCTCTGGATGCAGGATCAGGGAATCCTGCAGGCTGAGAGGAGGGAAAAGCCCAGGTGAGAGATCCCAATCCATCCCCACCCACTGGAGATGCAGAACTCCCCAAATCCTGCTATTCCTCATTCCCAGAGTGCTGGGAGCTTGTATTGCTCCTCAGGAACAGAAAACTCCTATTTCCCTTTTATTTCTGTGGGGTTTATTGTTACCATTACCACAAAATAAACAGGATTAATAATTGTTTGTTAATGAACAAGTGAAGGTGGTGAGATCCTGGCAAGGAAGCTGTGGCTGCCCCTGGATCCCTGGAATTGTTCCAGGCAGGTTGGACAGGGTTTGGGATAGTGACAGTGTCCCTGCCCATGGACAGGGAATTGGATGAGCTTTAAGGTCCCTTCCAACCCCAGCATTCCATGATCCTACCCTGCAATTCCCTACAAAAACATGGGAATAACGTCCTGCAAATGTTCCTGCAGGTCCTGGAACAGGGAAGACTTTTCCTGGATTATAAATATTAACAAGCACCAAATCCTTCAGGCACAGCTGGCAATTTCTGGGGGCACAGCTGCCAAACCCTGATGAGCTGCATTAATTAGAGCCCTGCTCTAATTACCAGACAGCAGCTCCTGGTTCAGCTGTAACTACACACAGCAAAGCTGTTTTCCCTTTCAAATGATCCACAGCTCAATTTAATTGCACAACTGCACCTCTCCCCTGGAACAGCAGGATTCCTCCTGGGTTTCTGCCTCCCTAAGCCTCCTTTCTTCTCCCATTCCATGGCAACAGGTCGAGCTTCACTCCCAGTATGGGAGGTGTTTGATGCTTCCCCAGTGCTGTGGGCTCCAGCTGAACACAAAAAGGACTTTCTGGAGTGCATTTGATGCAAAAGCTTTAAAAATCCAAGGGAGGAATCCATGTGCAGCTCCAGGGATGGAGCCATGTCCGGAGCAGAGCTCGTGGATGTGGAGGGGAGGCAGGAAGCCACATTAAAGCTTATTTTGTCCATCCTCTGGTGCTTCCCGAGCATTAATCACTTTTCCAATCATTAATCACAATTCCAGAATCATGGAGGCTGGAATTCCCAAATGGAATGGTTTGGAAATTAGAATTCCCAAATGGTTTGGGTTGGAAGGAACCTTAAATCCCATCCAGCCCCAGCCCTGCCCTGGCAGGGACACCTCCCACTGCCCCAGGTGCTCCAGCCCCAGTGTCCAGCCTGGCCTTGGGCACTGCCAGGGATCCAGGGGCAGCCCCAGCTGCTCTGGGCACCCTGCTCCAAATCCTAAATAAAAACCCGAAGGAAACCTAACTCAGAAAACTTCACCTCATTCCCTTTATCCCCTCAACATCCAAATACCTTTCCACCCCCTGCTAAATGAGAATTTCCCCCCTCATTTACAAGAGTTCACACAACTTTCACACAACACATCTGGGTGTTCTAAGCACGGAAAATTCAGGGATTTGGTTGAAGGGCAGTGTGAGGGGTGGTCCCCACTGCAGAGATGTCCCCCTTCCCAGGCTGCCCTGGGGATCTGGGCTCTGCCTTACCGGGAGGACAGGCTGGGCTTGCCGCTCTTGCTGCAGCTGGTGTAGAGCCCGGGGCCATCGTCGAAGAAACTGCCCAGGGCCAACTTCTGCCTGATGGACTCGCGCTCATTCTTCTGGGCCTGCAGGGAGGACAGGGGTCAGCCTCTGGGGAGGGACACCGGGATCAGCAGCTGGGCAGGGACATGGGGATCAGGAGCTGGGGAGGGACACAGGGGATGAAGGTCTGGGAAGGGACAGGGGGGGATCAGCCCTGGGAGGGACACATGGAAGGATGAAGCTTTGAGAAGGGACATGCAGGGATGAAGCTCTGGGAAGGGACAGGAAAGGATGAGCTCTGGGAAGGACACATGGAAGCATGAAGATCTGGGACGGGAGAGGGAGGGATGAAACTCTGGGAGGGGCACATGGAAAGATGAAACTCTGGGAGGGGCACATGGAAAGATGAAGCTCTGGGAGGGGACAGGGAAGGATGAAGCTCTGGGAGGGACAAATGGAAAGATGAAGCTCTGGGAGGGACAAATGGAAAGATGAAGCTCTGGGAAGGGACAGGAAGGGATGAAGCTCTGGGAGGGGACAGGAAGGGATGAAGCTCTGGGAGGGACACATGGAAGGACGGAGATCTGGGAGGGGACAGGGAGGGATGAGCTCTGGCCAGGGCACAGGAAGGGGACGTGTCCCACCAGCCCCACCACCAAGCTCAGCACATCCAGCATCTCCCAAGCATTCCACACCTGGGTCAGCCACAGAGCACATCCCACTGGGAACGCCCAGTGCCATCTCTGTCCACATGGAACCAGCCTGGTCTGGGTTGGAAAGGACCTTAAAGGGCATCTGACTGCACCCCAAACTCACTGATAGATATTTCCTGGTACACTCCCCAATATCTGTACCTATATCCACACACAGCCACCTCCATCAGCATCTTCCTCTTCCCTGAGCAGCTTCCAACCTCACAAAAATCCCTCTCCTGACAGCGTGCTCAGGGGTGGATTTTGAACCACTGTCATCAAATTATCCCTGGGTTTAAAAATGTATTTTTATATAAAAATATAAACACAACAATATAAACACAACAATATAAATATAAATATAAATATAAATATAAATATAAATATAAATATAAATATAGGAGTTTTAAAATAGCAATCAACAAAATGATTTGCAATTAATCCCTGATCAATAACTGTGCAATCAATGCAAATCTCAGCTCCAGATTCAAAATCTCCCCCGGTGTCTGTCACTAACGCGTCACGTGCCAACACTGACAACAAATTCAGGAAGTTATTCATGGAAGGAACACTTGGAAAGCCTCAAACATTTAATTACAAAATAACACTTAATACCCAATCCAGAAAACACAACAAAAAGAAATAGAGCAGGCAAGGCTGGGCTGCTTCCTGGGGTTAATTCAAGGAATTGTGCTTCCCATATCCCACCTCAGGAAAAATAAAGCACTTTTTGTACAAGGAAGTGTGACAAAATGCAAATTATTCACCTAAAATAACAAATGATTTAATTCCAGCTCCAGTGCTGATTATACACATTATTACCCTGCCCATTAAATTGTCAATCCCTTACCAAAATAATTCATTTATAACCTAACTCCTTTTATTTCAAATCCTTAAAATAATAAAAATAAACCCCACGACACCGAGTGGCACTGAGTTTTTGGGCTGAGCTCCAGGTTTCTGAAGTTTTACCCAGACCATTGTGTTTTTAGGTTTCAATAATCAATACCTCAATCACATGGAGACAGATTTAGGATTAAAAATAGCCTGCCCTGCTGGGGAGGGCAGCACAGGGGAAAAAAATAAGGAGAAATGAGTGAAAATAATTTTTTAATGCACTGGAAGCAGAAGGAGGGAGGTTGGTGCCAGCTCCTCGTGCTGCCCATCTCAGGGTGCCCTTCCCTGTGCCACTGCACCAATATTCCACCCAGCCCTGGAAATTTCCCCTTTCCCAGCTCAGAGGATCCTCTCCCACATCTTCCCATCTAAATTTGATTTTCCTTGTGCTCCAGCTGAAATCCAGCCCCCAGAGCATCCCCACCTCCTCCGTGGGCTCCCAAAGCTGCTCCTTTCCCACTAAAATCCAGGCAGGATTGGACGTTTCTCCTCCTTTCTGTCTCTCCAGATCTGTTTTAATTTTGCTCTTTCCCACCGCTCCCAGGCTGACAGCTGTACATTTAATCAACATGCAGTTTGTTTTCTCCACCAGGTCATTAATGAGGATTCTCAGTAACTCTGCTCCCAGGACTGAGCTGGGAATATCCCATTTTCCAAGGCAGGCTAACGACCATAAAGAAATCCAGAGTCCTGTTTGTTATTATAAAATGGGGAGCAGTTAGTAAGGAATAAAATATACCTGAGGGAACTGGACTTTAGGCTTTGGATGAATTACCTGACAGCTGCACTCAAAATCCAGAGATGGGTATGAAAAAACATAAATGGAGAAGGGAAACAGCAAGGTGGGTTTTGACAATGAAATATTCTGACTTGGTATAGAAGGAATAATGGGTCAAATCCTCAAAATGCAAAGGTAACTCCAAGGAAAACATAACCCCGTGGTACCTAAATGTGTATTTTGGCACTGACCCAAAAAATAAAAGTATTTGTGCTCTGTGCAGAGCTGAGCACAATTCGGTTCTCACAATGATTTTAAACAAAAAGCTGCTTTTGATTTTTAAGGGGAAAACAGAACAATCTGGGGCGGATGTTTTCCTTCTTCCCCTCGACCTTCCCTTCGGAAGGGCAGCAAAGCCTGTGCTGGAGCCTGGACTGGGAACACAGCTCAGCCTGGCTGGGGCTGCTCCAGGGAAAGGGCACGTGTCCCACAGTCCTGGAATCCTGGTTTGGGGTGGAAGGGACCTCAGAGCTCACCCCATCCATGGCAGGGACACTGCCACTGTCCCAGGGACACCTCCCACTGCCCCAGGTGCTCCAAGCCCATCCAGCCTGGCCTTGGGCACTGCCAGGGATCCAGGGGCAGCCCCAGCTGCTCTGGCAATCCCAGCCCAGCCAGGAATTCCCAATTCCCAATCTCCCATCCATCCCTGCCCTCTGGCAGTGGAGCCATTCCCTGTGTCCTGTCCCTCCATCCTTGTCCCCAGTCCCTCTGCAGCTCTCCTGGAGCCCCTTCAGGCCCCGGCAGGGCTCTGAGCTCTCCCTGGAGAGGTGAACATTCTCCTCTCCAGGGGAACATTCCCAGCTCTCCCAGCCTGGCTCCAGAGGGGACAAGCCCTGCAGCAGCTCCGTTCTGGCCTCTCTCCAGCAGCTCCACATCCTGCCCTGGCAGGATCCCATCCCCACCCTGCCCTGCCCACTGCCAGCCCTGCAGGACAGGGGAGCAGAGGGGGGAATCCCTTCACACCCATCCTCCAGCTCCAAACCCTTCAGGAGCACTGGGACACTTCAGGAGCACTGGGACACCAGCAGGAGCACTGGGACACTTCAGGAGCACTGGGACACCAGCAGGAGCACTGGGACACTTCAGGAGCACTGGGACACCAGCAGGAGCACTGGGACACTTCAGGAGCACTGGGACACCAGCAGGAGCACTGGGACACTTCAGGAGCACTGGGACACCAGCAGGAGCACTGGGACACTTCAGGAGCACTGGGACACCGGCAGGAGCACTGGTACACCCAGCAGGAGCACTGGGACACTCGGCCAGGCCACCAGGGCTATTTTTGCCAGGCTCTGTCATTCCCAGCCCGGACCAGGACTATATTTAAAGTCCCAGAGCCACAGGCAGCGCCTCGTTTTATCTCTGCACTGCACAAGGGCTATTCTGGGCTTTACAAACAACCTAGGGGCACAGAAAATGTTTTTAAATGGTTTTATCTCCTTTTTTCTTCCCGGGGTAAACGCAAACCCAAGTCAAAACTTTTTGAGCCACGTCACAAAATGCCTTAAAACCCCGGGGGTTCCCAGGTAGGAGAAGGCCTTTGGAAGCTTCCCCTGCTGTTTTATCAGCAGCAGATACGGAGAGAAGGAAGGAGGGAGGTTTGCCCTGTGCAAACCGTGGATCCTCCCTGCTCCAGCCCCCCAATCCCACCGGCCTGGCGGGGTCCGGGCAGCATTCCCGCAGCATTCCCGCAGCATTCCCGCAGCATTCCCGCAGCATTCCCGCCCGGTGGCGCGCACAAAGGCTCCTTTCTGTCCCCTTCTTTTTGTCCCTTTACCTTTTTATAGCTGGCCTCGGCGGGCGGCGGGGCCGCTTTCCTGATGATGTCACCCATGCCATCGCGCCGCTCCCGGCTCATCGCCGCCGCTCCCGGCGCATCGCACCGCGCCCGGCCCCGCGGGATGCGCTCCCGCACCTCCCGCTCCCTCCTGCCCCGCAGCACCTGGCTCTTCCCAAATAAAGGCAGGGAGCGCCAGCGAGAGGAGCTGGGAATCCGCGTCCTTCTGCAGGCACTGCCCGCGGCGGATAAAAATAACCCCGAGCTCCAGCGGCTCCGCAAGGGCAGGAAAAATGCCGGTGTCTGATGTCAAAGTGCCAGCCTGGCCCGGAGCGAGGGGCTTCCTCCTGCCTTCCCGGGGAAGTTATCCCAGGGAATTCCCAGGATCCACATCCCACAGATGGGAACCAGCAGCTGGAATTTTTACTCCACGCAAAACCCACCGGCAAGGACCCCACGGAGCTGTTCCCTGGCTAATTCGGCTTTTCCAGGCACAACAATTCCTAAATTTCTTGGAATTAAGCAACAGAGGCACCCGGCCTAACCCTGCCCCCCATCCTGTGGAGAGCCTGGGGATCCCCCAAAATTCCATCCCTGGCTCCTGGGGGGCTCACACAACACAAACCTGGAGCTTCCAGCTCCTGCCTCCAGCATTCCTGCCTGGAGATCCCGAGGGCACCCCCGACCCCCTGGCACACAAATCCCCTCTGTCCCTGCTGAGATCCCGTCCTGCTGGAAGGGTTTGTCTGGATCAGCTGCAGGGAGAGCAGAGCTCATGCTCAGGACAGGAATTCCCAAAAGGAATCCACAGGAAAATGGAATTATGCCCCAGCTGCTCCCCAAAACCTGGCGCAGCAGCAAGAAAAATTCTGATTTTTAGTGCAGCACAATTATAGATAATTTTAATTGCCCTGTGATGTTTAATGAGATATCCAA